ATGGTCTTCCCAGGTCTCTGCCTCCCCTCCCGCCCTCGCCTACCCCGACCTGACTTCCTTGTGTCGAGGGGCGGCAGCGCGCCGCTCCTCACTCCTCCTCGTTTCCCCCGACGATTGCTCCCATGCAGACCCTCCACATGGACGTGTGGGGCCCAGCCCGTGTCAGTGGACAGGGCCGCGAGCGCTACTTTCTGCTGGTTGTTGACGACTACACGCGTTACACCACGGTTTTTCCCTTGCGCAGCAAGGGTGAGGTCCCTGATGTCTTGATCCTTTGGATTCGCGCAGTCCGTCTCCAGCTCCGCGAGCGGTTCCGCGAGGACCTTTCTGTCCTTCGGCTACACGCTGACAGAGGTGGTGAGTTCTCCTCCGACCTCTTGCGGGACTTTTGTCGTGGGGAGGGCATCCTCCAGTCGTTCACGCTTCCGGCCTCCCCGCAGCAAAATGGGGTTGCTGAGCGCCGCATTGGCTTAGTCATGGAGGTGGCTCATACCTCCATGATCCATGCGGCTGCTCCCATTTTTCTAGTGCCGTTTGCGGTCCGTACGCTGCGCATCAGCTCAACCTCTGGCCCCCTGTCTCCTTGCGGGAGACCTCGCCTACACTGCATTGGACGAGGAAGTTTGGCGATGCGTCGGTGTTCCGGGTCTGGGGTTATCGTGCCTTTGTCCGCGATACTTCCGCGGACAAGCTCTCCTCCCGCGCTATTCCCTGCGTCTTCCTTGGCTTTCCCCCCCGCCATTCTTCCTCACTCCAGGTCCCCCTCCGGTAGACCCCCTCCCCCCTAAGGGTCCTGCTCCCTCAAGTGTGTCTCAGGTAGACCCACTCCCCCTGGCTGAGCCTGTCAAGGTCACTGTAGACTCTAGTGCTGCTGGGGGTGGTGCTGTTAGGGGTACTGCGTGTGGGGGTGCTGAGCCTGCGGGTGCGGAGCCTGGGGGTGCTGAGCCTGCGAGTGCGGAGCCTGGGGGTGCTGCGACTGAGGATGCGGAGTCTGGTGGTGCGGAGTCTGATGGTGCTGAGCCTAGGGGTACTGCGTATGCCGGAGGTCCTGCGGGTGCCTCGCCAGGACACTCCCGCCAACGGGAGCCTCTCTCACCGCGGCAGCTGCGCGACTGGTTTGCTTGGCGCACACGCCTTAGGAGTGGCGCTGCAGGAGCTGGAGGCCCTGCCGCTGGAGGCTCTGCCGCTAAAGGAACTAGAGCTAGAGGTGCTGGAGCTACTAGTCCTGGAGGTGCTGGAGTTACTGCTGGAGCTGGAGGTACCGGAGGTGCAAGATCTGCTGGTCCTGGAGGTGCTCGTACTAGAGGTACTGGAGCTGCCAAAGCTGGTGGTGTTGAAGGCACTAGAGCTGGAGACCCTGGAGCTGGAGGCACAAGAGCTGGAGGCGCTGGAGCTGGAGACCCTGGAGCTGGAGGTGCTGGTGGTGGGGGTGTTGGAGCTGGCGGTACTAGTGCTGGAGGCACTGTGCAGCGGCGACCTTTTTTCGTTCCGCCGCCACTGTTGTCTCTTCCGCCTCCTGGCTCGGTCCTTCGCCAGGTTCTTAGTCTCATGTCTTCTACTGGCCTTACTCCTAGCTTACTGTTTCCACCGCCTCACCAGTCGCTGCCACAGTTACACCCAGACTCCCCACTGCCTGCTCCTTCTCCTTACTCTGTGCAGACAGACTCTCTTACAGAGCGTCGTGAGCCTGAGTCTCGTCCTGCCTTGCCTGTTCTTGCTGTTCGCACTGGTCGTCGTGTTCCTTGTCCGCGTCCTCCTTCTGTCCCCGGCACTCAGATTATGGCACTTCGTCCTTCCTCTGTTCCACAGCGAGTTCCCCTGCCGTCTCCTCCTGCGTCCTCCCTTGCTGACGGTCCGTACCCTGAGTCTGACTTAGTTTGTGCTGCTAATCCTACTGTCCATGTCTTCTAGCCACTGTTGTCACTGACCCTTCATTTGAGTCCGCTGCTGTGTCTGCCCTAGTTGCTGAGCTTGTTGACTTTGCTGCCACCTGTCGTCTCGACTACGCCGCTAGTCTTGTTGCTGAGTCTAAGTCTGACTCTCCTCCGTCCATCGGGGGTGAGTGTGCTCTTGGCACGGACGTCCTTGAGGACAGGCAGGAGGAATTTCAGTGCCTTGCAGCTGCTGTACCTCATCTCGTGGCCATTCTGCTTGCACTTGAGGGAGACCCGGATGCACCAGACATCCTGACCCCACGCTCTTACGCAGAGGCGATTACGGGTCCCTACTCCTCTCAGCGGCAGACAGTCATGGACGCAGAGATGGCATCCTAGAAGTCCACAGGCACCTACGTCGACACAGTTCCCCCTCTTGGGGTGAACATAGTTGATGGCATGTGGATTTTCAGGGTTAAGCGGCCGCCGGGTTCTCCGTCTGTCTTCAAGGCTCGTTACGTTGCACGAGGCTTTAGTCTGCGAAAGGGAGTTGACTTCTTCCAGACCTTCTCCCCTACCCTGAAGATGACCACTCTTCGGGTGCTGCTGCACATCGCCGCTCAGCGTGACTACGAGCTTCACTCTCTTGACTTCAGCACAGCTTTCTTACAGGGCAGCCTGCACGAGGAGATTTGGCTGCGCCGCCCACCTGGCTTCACTGGGTCGTTTCCTGCCGGTACCCAGTGGAGCCTCCGGCAGCCAGTCTACAGTCTCCGCCAGGCGCCTCGCGAGTGGCACGACACACTGAGGACAACGCTTGCGGCTCTTGGGTTTGCTCCTTCGACTGCTGACCCTTTGCTGCCGCCATTCTACATCCTCGTGTACATCGACGACTTGGTTTTTGCCACTGCTGACACTGAGGCACTGGCCCTTGTGAAGTCGGAGCTGCAAAAGAGACACACCTGCACTGACATGGGTGAGCTGCGCAGCTATCTTGGCTTGCAGATCACCCGGGACAGAGCACGGCGCACCATCTGTTGAAATGTATTTGTATACATTCATATAAATGCCTACAGTAGCCTAGTGTAGTTATCTTAGTTTCCTGCTAGGTGGTGTACCATTTGCCTAATTCCTTGCCTATATCTTGTGTGCCCTCTACTATTGAACTCCTCTTTTGGCTTGCATCTTCCCTCGCCACTTTCCTTCTCGTCACTCTCGCCTAGGTCAAACCCTAGGCCCCTAAACTTCATTCTCGACACCATCACCCGGACTCAGTCACACATGGTGCACCAGGTCCTTCAGCGCTTCGGCTTCCGGTACTCCTCGTCACAGTCCACTCCTCTGCCTACCGGTCACTCGCTCTCAGCTCCACCTTCAGACGAGTCGGTAGAGCCGAGTGGCCCGTATCCAGAGCTTGTGGGCTGCCTCATGTACTTGATGACCTGCACTCGACCTGACCTTGCCTACCCTCTTAGCATCCTGGCACGCTACGTTGCGCCCACGAGACACCGACCAGAGCACTGGGAGGCCGCTAAGAGGGTGTTGCGCTACTTGTGCAGTACATAAGACATGGGGCTCGTGCTTGGAGGACGGGGTCCAGTTGTCCTCACTGGACACGCAGACGCGTCTTGGGTTAACGACTTGGCTACGCAGCGGTCGTCACAGGGTTACACTTTCAGCCTTGGCTCCGGCTCTGTTTCTTGGTGGTCTACCCGCTCGTCTTCTATTCTCAGTTCCAGTTGTGAGGCTGAGATCTACGCAGGGGCCATGGCTGCACAGGATTTACGCTGGCTCACCTACCTACTGACCGACTTGGGAGAGCGGCCTCGTTCTCCTCCAGTTCTGTACGTAGACAACAAGGTCATGATTGCCTTGTATCAAGAGCACAGACTGGAGCACAGGACGAAGCACATCGCTCTGCGTTACTTCCTTTCTCGAGAGTTGCAGCAGCGTGGTCAGCTTCGTCTTGCTTACGTGGCCACTCGGGCCAACACTGCTGATATATTCACCAGGGCACTTCAGCCTGGTGATTATCAGCGTTTCTGTACTGTTTTAGGCCTTGTGCCTACTTTGCCTCAGTTGCTCACTGCGTGACTTTGCTTGTACTGTGATCTATATATATACATGCATGTTTACTCTTGCTAGGTTATGATCACTGTACTGTTTGTTCTCGTTTATATATCTCTGCAAGTGAATTGGACTTGTGGCCATTTGCTTGTGCTCGAAATGTGTGGTGATTTCGTGATCCACCCTGAGCTTGCTTTGTTTTTTCTTGACTGGTATTGTGACCACTTGTTCTCCCCCACTTTGCCTATGGGGGTGTGTCAAAATATTATAATGCTTATATTGTGTAGGCTGTAGTGGGGTAGCCCATAAGGGGTACAACCCAATTAGGGTTAGTATTTGTACCAACTTTCTTCTCAATGCATTCGTTTTCGTTTAGTTTCTGGACACTCTGGATGCCCCAAAACCTAGCACGGGCCTTGGTCAGAGTGACCCCCCAAAAAGCACTCTGATTTTCAGAGAAACAGAGTAATTTACTCTGATAAAAATACCCCTGCCCCTGTCTACTGCATTGCATGACCTTGACAAGCTCTTGTTGCAAGTGCTTGTTGTCCCGATGTGTTTTCTTATCTCTATTGTTCTGGATTGTTTGAAAGGTATCAGCTCAATTTAAGGAAGTGAATTTTGCATGCTCTGTTCAAACAAAGATCGTACCGTACAAACATGAATCACAGTTGGAGCAAAATGTGTACTGTATGTGACTCAGCAAAAGGTGACTTACTAGAGCAAGAATTGCACAACCGATGCCAAGCACATTGTGAGTGAATGCATGATAAACCATTGAATAGCGAAAGATGGTGACTATAACGAGCGAACATTCAGCGGGATTTCACACGGGTTAGCACCAAGGCTTGGGGACTGGCCGAGGCGTAGGCCGGGCAGCAGGTTACCAACCAAACCACTGTGTACAGGTAGGCTGCTTGTTCAGTGACTTCGCAGAATATAATAGATGTATACAGGTACCCACAGCTAGGCTGATTGTTCAGTGTCTCGCTAAAGATGTGCCAAGTTGTAATCAACGATCTCAACAATACAGTCAGCTGCATGCATAGCACAGGTTTATCAGCGAAGATCCACCACATCAAACTTGATCTTGGGGTTGAAAAACACATGCGAGCTGTGTGTGTAAATGGGACTTCCATCCTTAGTAGGCTCGTGGGAGTGGAAGCCGCGCAGAGGGCACTTCTGAATGACCTTCATCCCAGCCGGGTCTGTCAGGCGGAATATGCCAAACTTGCTGCACCAAGGAGCATTGTAAGGTGGAAGGGGGAACAGAAGGAGAAAGGGGCATCAGGGAAGTCGAGTTAGCTAAAGAAATAAAATAACATTGGTTTCCTATCTTATGGTTAGGGACCACCACGATCAGTTAGTCAACATTGACAGAAGTCTGGTAAATGGCAACAGTCATGGAATACGGTAAGTGGACATGGAATACGCGGAACATCACGGTAAGGCATTTAAGTTAAAGGGCAAGGGAGGGAGGGGAAGAGGGTCGAAAGAGGAACAGGAAGTCTGGCAGACGAGAATGGTGGAAGAAGGCAGTGAGAATAGGCAGCAGGCACAAGTTAGGAAAGACGTACCGTCTAGGGTCCATGGGGGCCATGACTATGGCAATGGCCTCTGGCAGCATCACCTGGGGCGAAGGGACCATAATGCAGCACAAAGATTCTCACACAGAGACAGAGACACGGTTGGCACATGGACAGTAATTAAGTTTGAGATGACTTAGACTGGAACAGGATCTTGGAACAGAGAAGAGACAGGGACGGAAATGAGGTGACCAGAAAGCTGCGGATAAGAAAATCTGTAGCAGTCCTGGGGAAAAGGGGGTGGAGGACGAGTGGAGAAATACCTTAAACAATTAAGGAGAATGAGAAGCACAGAACTGTCAACAATTAAGGGGAGATGAACGAGTCTTCATTCATTTTGTTATTGCAACGTCGAATTTATTCCAATTAAGAAAGAAAGATCTGACCTGATAGGAGTAGTGTGTGTGCACGTCTATGGACGACATAAAGCACGATTGAGTCGGGTGGGTCTGATGGGCAAACCAAGTCCACAAAATGCAAGGGCAGGGGGCGGAGGGGAGAGGGAACATCACATCAGATACGCTAAACGCGGGCAACTGGCTGAGTAGAAGAAACCTCCCAAACAACTAACCAATGGAACGGCCATAGAGTGGATAGATAAACCAAATGCAGAGAAATTAGCAAAAGGTGAGAGCCAAGCAAAGAAAGGAAGGAGGAGGGAGGGAGAGGTAGTACATACATGTATCCAGCCGAGTTGGAAGAGGCCCAGCTTGTCCTGTGCCTCAAAGATTTCCTCCTCGTTGGTCGTGGAACACTGCGTGGCATGACATGGCAGGAACGACCGACCGCAGGGATGGGATATGGAGGTGAGGTGAGTTTTGATGAATACAAACAGCAGGTCGCATGACTGATAGACGGCAATGATGCGACACCAAGGGCTACAATAAGCAGCCAGGAGGACGAGGGGAGGGAAGTGGAGAGGGAAGAGGAGGGGAGGGACATACCGAATCAGAAGTAGAATGCTGTTTAGGCAGGATAAGCGCTGTGACAAAGAACATTCCCTTCTTCTGCGCATTGCAACAACAGAGGATGCAGGAAGACAAACCAGAAGAAGCAGGGGCAGACGAAAGAAAACAAACGAAAGGCAGCTGATGATATCCTTTGGAGGGGGGGATCTACGGGGAAGAGAGAAAACGAAGAAGCAGAAATATGGGAAGTAGCAGCGTAGGAACGTACCAGAGAGCCGGCGAGCACGGCACACGTCTCTAGGTTGCGGGACGTGTTGTCCAAGACCACGCGCATGAACTCATCCATCATCCGAGTGGACTGGTGGGTGGGTGGGTTGACAGTGTGCACACAGGGAGACACCAGATGAATGGACAGCATCTGCATGGGCACGGCACATGTATCTATGTCGCTGGACGTGTTGTCCAAGACCACGTGCATGAACTCATCCATTATTCGAGTGGACTGGTGGGTGGGTGGGTGTGAGTGTGGGTGGGTGGATTGACAGTGCGCACACGGGGAAACGAAGCGATGTATAGGCATACTATTTGGAAGAAGGACAAATGAGTGGGAAAAGACATGCACGAACTCGTGCATAATTCGAGTGGACTGGTGGGTGGATTGGCAGCCTATGCCATACATACAATGTGCACGGCCTTCACTCCCTTGGGCCCTGACGTCTTTCTGCCCTTGATCACACCACCACCACCACCACCACCACCACTCCTCCCTGGCACTGCCCCTCCCACCACCAGCTGCTGCTCGTGCTGCTGCTGCAACCGCTGATTCTGCTTCTTCTGCTCGTGCTGCTGCGAGTGCGAGTGCGAGTGGGAGTGCTCGGGCCGGCCCACACCAGGCAGAGAAACCTCCTGCAGGGGAGCGTTGGCAGGAGGAGGAGCCGGCTGAACCAGTGGCGATGGCAACCCAGTGCCTCCATTCGACTGTGCTTCTCTCCCTCTTGCCCCTACTCCACCTGCTGCCGCTGCTGCCGCTGCTGCTGCTGCACTAGATGTCACGGCTGCAGCAGCAGCCGCAGCAGGAGTAGAAGGTGGTTGAATAGCTGCAGGGTCGTTTCCAGCAGGAGCTGGCGCTGCTGCTCCTCCTGCCCCTGAACCGGCACCTGAACCAGAACCTGACACAGCACCTGAAGCTGCTGCTGGCTCTGTCGGTCCGATTGTTGATGGTGACGCTGATGCTTCTCCTGTGACTGTGGAGTCGGCTCTAAGATCTCTCTCTGTTTCTACAGAGTCATGAAAAGAATTGTCAAGGGTGTTTCGGTTGGCTGATGCTGTTGATGCTGCATCTCGCTGCTGGTGTTGCTGCTGCTGAGGCTTTGGTTTCTCCGGCCATGATAGCAGACTGTGTTTGAGGGGAAGGCAGGAGGGGTGAAAAGGAAGTGCAATTGAGGGTTGAATTGGGCAAAGAGAGGGAGTGCAGGGGATAGGCAACAGCAAAGTAGAAAGCAAAAAAAAAAAAAAAAAAAAAAAATCTCTTCCATTTTTTCATAAACATTACATGATATTCAGGCAAGGCAATGACATCCACGTGCAGGGGACCATAAGAAGCTCAAACCAAGATGACTTTTGAGTCGACTCAAAAGTCAACTCGGGACCATAAGAAGCTCAAACCAAGAGAGGGGACTGAGAGAAGTGCGAGATAGAGAAAGAAGGTACGGTCAATGCAGTAGGGAGGAATGTAAAGTAGCAGGAGAAGAGACTGTATGAGATGAGAGGGAAAGGCGGAGCGGCAGAGAGCGAGACATGGAGGAAGAAAGGCAGGGACGGAGAGGGGGAGCGAGGGAGGAAGGGACGGAGAGACAGAGGGAGGGAGGGAGGGAGGGAGGGAGGGAGGGAGGGAGGGAGGGAGGGAGGGAGGGAGGGAGGGAGGGAGGGAGGGAGGGAGGGAGGGAAGGAGAGAGGGAGGGAGGGAAGGAGAGAGGAGACTGACGGAGGGAGAGACCACAGCACCGAGGAACCGAGGAACATACTCTGGAAGTTCTATAGGAGACGAGTCAATCTTGGTGGGATATGACACCTGCACAAAGCACGGGCGACGAGACATGAGAAAGGCACCAAGGCAGGTTCAGGTTCGTACGAGCCATCTTAGCAGCTGCCCCTCCTCACGTGCACAGGATCCACTACAGAGACGGTGCACGTGGCTGTGCACGTGGCTGTGCACGTGGCTGTGCATGTGGCTGTGCACGTGGCTGTGCACGTGGCTGTGCACGTGGCTGTGCAGGGTGCACAGGATCCTCCAAGGCTACGGAGTGTCATACGAGCTGTCACAAGTGAGTTGCGTGTGGCAGTCACAGGTAGCAGACACATGGACAGAAGCGAAGGTGGAGGCTACACAGACCTGTCTTTTGGTAGTCATGCGGCAGTGACTGTCAGTCACCTGCATCGGAGCCAAGGCTACGTTGAGTCCTAAAAGCTGCGACTATAGATTCTGTCACTCCTGAGTAGGCCACGCCACTATTACCTCTATCAGTACAGAGTCTGTCACTCGTGAGTCACATGCGGCAGTCACCTGGACAGGAGCCAAGGCTCGTTGGCGAGGCGCAGAGGACGGGAAGGAAACGAGGGAGTGGCGAGACAGGGCCTCACTCCGCGGCTGGGGGAGAGAGAAGGAGCTGCTGGTGTGGGTGTGGATGTGCCAGGTGGAACAGCAGGGTTGGGTGGGAGTTGAGAGTGGTGTGGGGTGGTGCGGGGGGTTGTTGGGGGTTGGGGGTGGGAGGAGGCGGGGAAAGAGAGAGGTTAACGCTCAAAGCTGGGCATCAGGAAAATTACAAAAAGGAAGTGAGTTGCACGAAGGAGATAACATCCTGCGTAGAAAAAAAAAAAAAAAAAAAACAGTTGACAATACGGCTGTGGGAGAAAATGAGAGTGAGAGAGCGGCAAGTGGGAGGGCGTGTGTGTGGGGTTGGGGGACTGATGGGAAAAAGGGAGGGACGCAGAGAAGAATAATATACTCACTAAGATGATGTAAGAGGGCGAGCTATGGAGGTTGCGACAGTGGCAGCAGACGCTATGGCAGGCAGAGCAACAGTGGTTAGAGAGAGAGAGCCTATTCCGGACAGCAGATCCATGCTGTTGCTGTTCTGGGGCTGATACCACTGCTGCTGTTGCTGCTGCTGCGGCTGTTGCTGATAATAAAACGGCTGCTGCTGCTGCTGTTGCTGCTGAGGGTGTTGTTGTTGCTCCAACAAGGTTGTTGAAGCAGCCGGGTTGGACCACGAGGAAGTGGTGCTGGGAATGGCGAGAGATAGGGCTGCTTCCTGCCCCTGCTGGGGCTGCGTCTGACGAGCGAGAGAGGCAGACCGAAGGCAAAACGCAGGAGACGTTAGGAGAGAGAGAGAAAAAAAAGAGGGGGGGGGGGCGGAGACGAGAAGGGGGCGAGAGGGAAACGGAATGGATGCCAGGAGAAAGACAAAGGGAAGAGCAGCAGAAAGGCCAACAATATGGTGTTGTGGTGCAGTGGTGCAGATAAGAACACGAGGAGGACCTACCAGAGACTGGGCCCAGACGTCTAGATCCATTCCCAAGCTAAGCGCCCCTGTCGCTCCAATCCCGGCCAACACAGCACTACCGTTGCTGCTGCTGCTGCTACTGCTGCTGCTACCGCTGTAGCCACCACCGTTATAGCCACCACCAAGATCAGCACTATATCCGTTGCTCCCATTGCTCCCATAGCTGTAGAAACCACTGTTACTGTCCACTGCGACCACTCCACCAGAACCAGCACCGGTGTCCATGCTGCTAGGCCCATATCCCGGCCAACTGGCACGAGACGTGAACAAGGATGGGGCAGTTGAAGAGGAGGAGAAGGAATATGAGGAGGAGTCCTGGAAAGGGGAGAGAGACGAGATGAAAGTGGTGGAGGAGAGGGGAGAGGCGGAGGAGAAGGAGGAGAAGGAGGCGAGGGAGGAGGGGCGGCGGGGCGGGGAGGTGGGGAAGTAGACGGGGACAACACCGTCCTCCTCCGGTGGGTAATCCTCCTCGAAGGAGAACAGGCTCGTGCCGTTGAGGCGTGCCACTGCTGGCTTCAGCTGCTCGCACTCGTCCAGTGCTGCCAGGGCTTGCTGCGGTTGGAAGCAGGGGAGTTAAGGGGGCGGGTTTCATAAGGGTAATTAGGGAAACGGGAGAAGACGCTGGTCCGCGTCTGGCTTCAGCTGCTCGCACTCGTCCAGTGCTGCCAGGGATTGCTGTCCTGGTGAGAGGAAGTGGGGGAAAGGAGGGAAGGAGAACAAGAGGCAAGAGAAAGGGACAGGAGAGAGGGAGGGGACGAGGAAGGGCGGACGTGAAGGGAAGGTGAGGTGGGGAAGGCAGGAGAGGGGGTTGTAAGGAGGGGAACAGGAGCAGAGGGAGCAGCAGCGGCAGAGACAGGGCCAGAGCAAGAGAATCGTCATAAGCATGACGGCAAAAAAGAGCGGCGGCAGGAGCACGGGCGAGAGGGCGCGGAATGACTGACCCGTTTGAGGCTGGTGAGGGCGAGCAGGTGCGATTGGCTGCGGTACTCCTTGTGCTGCGGTATAGTGGTTGTCGCCAGGCTGTGCATGGGACAGGGGAGAACCGCAGCACGGGCAACAGGCGAACAAGCAAACAGGCGAACGAATGGGAAAAGATTTGACATGTCACAGAACACGTCAACAGGTTATACACGCCACGGCACAAGACGATAGCAATAAGGGTGAATGAGTTACCAGAAGAAATGATGGGTAATTGGTGAGGAGCGGGGAGGGGAAGTCATGGGGAGGGAAGGGGAGGAAAAGAAGGAAACGGTGACAAAAAACTGGATGACGGAGGGAGGGAGGGAAGGGGAAGAGGAGGGAGCAAGATGCAGAGGATCGGACAAGGAAAAAGCAGGCCCGCTATGTCATTGGTGCAGGCAAGATGGGAGGGGTTGGGAAGGGGAAAGGGAGTGTCACTCTACCTGATGAATCGGATGAGGAGCACGTAGAGCTGTAGCTTGTTGCCCTCGCAGCGGTACACGTCAGCCTGTTAGTCGCCAACGCACGACGGTGGGGAAGGGAGAAGCGAGGAACCCGACTGACGTAATGAGGGAGTTGATTCCTCTTTTTGACTTGGCACACAGGCGAAGGGAGAAGCGTCTGAGCAGAGCTTGGATGGACGTAACGAGGAGAGGCTTACAAGGGGAGAGAGCTTCGAGCTCAGTGCGTAGTACGTGCGCACAAAGCAGAAATCGCAAGAAAAACAACGATGAAAAGCCCGATTTGAACGAGTAGAGCGTGCTTCAGAATCTCCTCATCCCGCGTCCATCACCGCACGAGTGAGGTGTAAATATGTGCTTATGTGTAAGCCTAGCACTTACCAGGTTCTTGGCCAGTCGCAGATGCACTCACAGCGACAGGTGTTTTTTTTGTCGACTCAAAATTGCTCGAGTGAGGTATATGCATGTGCTTATGTGCTAACCTAGAACTGACCAGGTGCTGCAAGTTCTTGGCCAGTCGCAGGTACACTCGCAGCGACAGGTTGTTATCCACCTCCGCAGGCCGCGTCACCGCCGCCATGTTTATCACCCCCGCCATGCTAGCTGCCGATGCTCCCGCCGAAGCTGCCGCCGGTCACAAAGAGCCACGTGCACCTGGATTCGTACCGTCACCGTGTTACTCGCGCTACAGGCATCGACACCCTCGGCACAACTAGCTATGGGACCTGCTGCTCGCGCGATTTTAAACGTCTTATAAGAAGTCGTCAATACAACGCGACTCCGGCTACAAGCACCCTCTGTATGCTACTATTTGAAATCTCTGAGTTGACTGACAAGTTGCTAAAAAAAACTCCGTCTGCAGCCGGTTCGAGGCAGCCAGGTGCATCGGAATTGCACTTTCAACGGAAAGCTAGGGTTCCAAGCACCCTCTACCTGTCACTTGCTACGGGATGCGCTGGCGGATCGGGGAAGAAAGGGGACGATAGGAGAGAATGGAATAGAAGAGACGTAGGTCGTTATCGGTGGGATTGGAAAGGAAAGCTGGAGAGAAAAGGGAAGAAATAAGGGAAGAAGAGAAAAGGGAAGTAGGCACAATGACTGACGTGACTGGATAGTGTTTAGGCTGGGAAATTCGTGCAGAGAAACAAAGAAAGCGGCGAGACACGGTGAGAGGACGAAGGGAGTGGAGAGACGAGCTATTCGGCGCTGAAACGGAACATGCGTAAAGGGAAGAATGAAAGAGCTAGAGCCAACTTAGGAGGGCTAACAAGACCTACCACTTACCTACAGTACTCCTGAGTGAAATAGATGCCATGTAAAGTCACATCTGGCTGTCGTACCAACTTGAGAAGATCACGCAAGTATTGTTGAGATACCCTAACAAGTGGAAACGCAACGCGGCTGAATTAGAATGCCTACGACTCCATACCCCCCACTCCGCTGACTTATAATGCGGCAAACAAATATCGAGAAACTTAGGAACCAGTGGGAGTAGGTTATCGAGAAGAAGCACAACTGTGCAATGAACTGTCCTGTCCCATCCTGTCATATCAAGATGAGGAATTCGAGGGAGCAAATGGGAGTGCTGTGTTGTGAAGGGAGACAACGGTTTCAGTTGGCGGGAAGTACTCCACAAATGCGATGCCTCGGTCTGGACTGACTTGGCCTGGCGAGAAAACCTGTTCTGGTTTGGTGGGTTGGTAACAGCGACTCGGTGCAGCGCACCTTCTGGCCAGGGGACAGCTGCGAAAACTGTTGCTCACACTTGTGTAACGTCAAGCCCAACAGCGAAGCACGTAGGGCTGGCCCCCGTGGCAGGTGGCGGTGGTGTAGGACAAGGGAAAATATGCCGTTCGTAACCATCATGGGACTCGAAAACATTTTTGGTAAAAAAATAAAGGGTACGGTCACTGCAAAGGGTGTTTTCACGCGACTGATAAAGCGTTTCACGGAATCAGTCACAATCAGCTGGTAAAAAAAAACGCGAATGGTCACAGATGAAACTCCCGCCAAAACAAAATGAAACCCAGAAAGAACCTGGATGCATTTTCGGATGATCAACCCTAAACACGTAACTCGCCAGGTGTTTAGGGTTGATCCGTTCCCAAACCGCATCCGATTCCGATTGGGTTTTAGTTTTTTTACAAGTTCGCAGATTGGTTGGGCGCGAGCGGGAATTTTGTTGAGTTTCAAGTTTTTTTGGCGGGAGTTACATGTGTGACCATTCGCGTGATTTTTTACCTGTTGTTAGTGACTGAATCCGTGACCCCGCTTACCAAACCCGTCAGAAAACCCGATACAGTGACCGTACGCGTTTTTGTTTTACCATTCACGTTATCGAGTTCCAAGTTGGTTACTTGTGGCATACTTTCCCGTAGGACAACTCGTTTGACATGGAAAGTGAAGCTCTGTACATACAGTAATACTGGCAAACTAAAAAATGCGTTCAAACCTTTATTAATCCTTATAGATCATGTGCCTAGTGCCATTCATCCCGATATTGTTCTTGTGAGATAAAATATATTTTTTTTTCTCAAAATTCCACATAAAACTCTATAAATAACATATTCGAACAAATAACGTTTACAATTTTTGTTTTTTTAAGGATTCTGTATGTGTGGCTTTTCCTCCTCATTTTGATTCTCGCCTCGTTGAGCAGCATTCAGTAACGATATTATATGGGCGTCGTCCTGCGACTATTCCCTTGGGCCAGATCATCTGCAACAACTACGGTACTAATAATCCCCTGTGCAACTGCTAAGGTAGTTCCGAAGGCCTCTCTTTCGCGTGTTCGTTTGTGTCACGTCGCTGGTTATGGAGAGCGACGATGGCGCGAAGGACATTGCTCTTACCGAGTCTGACCTCGAAGCAGCAGTTGAGGCAGCTGGCGACGCCTTACGCTCGGAACAAGCCTCAGAATTAGGTTCGGAGCTATCTCCCGAATCTCCCCTCCTCGACGAACCACCACCTCTTGAACCCGTCGCGCCCGCAGCCGCAGGTGAGGCGGCTGCAGTGGCAGCGGTGACGGCCGCAGCAGCGGCAGCGGCGGCGGCGGCGGCGTCGGAACCGGCGGTACCAGCAGCGGCTGCCTCTGAGGGAAATGGCGCTTCGAAGCCGCGAAAACGGAAAGTCGAGTTGGTGCGTACGGAAAGACTCGGATATAGTCAATCAATGAGCGTTCCGATCTGGCGTCAGAAAAATGACGCATAATGATGCCATGTCTGGCATGCCCCCTGAGTATTCTCTAGAATTGCACCACGGCCTGTCTCATGCCATGTGTTTACACCAGATGTTCATGCCGTCTGCCATGATGCCATGTGTTTCCGTGCCTGTCGTGCCTCATCCATGATGCCATGGCGCATCACCATGCCATCCCTTGCCCTGCCATGCCATGCCATGCCATCCCATACCATGCGTTGCCATACCATGCCTTGCTACAACGGCTGGGTACAATACAACAGGTGGTGGAAGGAGACGAGCAGCCTCCTCCATTCATTCTTCTCAGTCAGAACTTTTACAGATTCCGTCGGTACGCATAATATTCACAGGTGGCTGGTTGTGTCTTACAGCTTACTTCGGCTCAATGGCTAACCAGCAGCATTGCATAGCTACCCAACCCAGTGACAGAAGTCATGTTAGACTGTCGTTTATTCCTCGTTCAGCTTTCCCAGCCTCTCTCTTTCCCCTCCTCCTTCCCCCCTTCTCTCTCCCACCCACCTCCTCTCTCCTCGCACCCACTCCTTTCTCCCACCCACCTCCTCTCCTCCCTCCTGACTCTATCTTTCACCATCATCAATCCCTCCTGACCCCTCAAAACCATCCCCCCGTCTCCACTCCAGTCCGAAGCAGGTGAAGAACGATGACGTGGCGGTGTGTGAGTGCGAGCCCCCCGCGCCCTCCTCAGGGGCGGCGGGGTGCCACGTGGACTCGTGTCTCAACGCGCTGCTCTGCACCGAGTGCACGCCGGGCTTCTGCCCCTGTGGAGACGCCTGCCAGAACCAGGTCGGTTAGAGGGCGCGTGGGTGTGCATGCGTGCACGCGTGCGTGCGGGGAGGGAGGGGGGGAGGGGGACCATATGTGTGTGTATGGACGTGTGCACGGGTCTGTGCGTACAGGGGCACATGTGTCTCTGTGTGTGTAAGTGTGTATGCAGTACTGTGATACACTGCCACAAGGGCACGCCCGCTTGAGTGCGAGCCCCCAGCACCCTGCTCAGGGGCGGCAGGGTGCCACGTGGATTCGTGTCTCAACGCACTGCTCTGCACCGAGTGCACTCCGGGCTTCTGCCCCTGCGGGGACGCCTGTCAGAACCAGGTCCGTGGAAGACCGTGTGGTTGCGGCTGTGTCTCTGTGTGTGTGAGCGTGCATGTGTGTTTGCTATGTGTCACTCTCAGGCACCGAGTGCACCCCGGGCTTCTGCCCCTGCGGGGACGCCTGCCAGAACCAGGTCTGTGGGAGGGTGCATGCGACTAGTTAATGTTTGCGAGTCTCCATGAGCTAACCAGGCCGGTGGAGTTTTGAGATGTTTCGAAGGTTTTGGGACGTAACCAGCACTGTGTGTGTGTTGTGGGGGGAGGGGGGGGGGGCAGGTGGGGGAATGCGTGTATCTGCTGCCATGCATCCACTGTCGATCGCTTCTCCGCTCTCCTACTGTTCTCTCCTCTTCACACCGTCATCGCTTCCCTTCACTTTCAACCTTCTCTTCCCTCCCTGCCTCCTCGCCCACCCTCCCTGCCTGTCTGCCTGCCCGCCCACCCGCCTGTCTACATGCCCCCCTGCCCATCTGCCTGTGCTTGTACGTGTGTGTGCATCCGGTTGCATGCATGCATGTGAGAGCAGCGTTTCCAGCGCTGTGAGCATGCGCGTACAGTGGTGAAGAAGGTCAAGGGGCGAGGCTGGGGCCTTGTGGCTGCACAACTCATCAAGGTGTGTGTGCGCGCCGCCGCGCCTTGCGTCGCTTTGCTGTCCTTTCCTGTCTTGATACTGTCTCTTTGAGGCGCCTCCAAGGTGAACCCAACCCATCTACTACTCCCATGCCTTGATTTTTCTCCTTGCCCTGGCTGGCGTGTCCCTGCCTCTCTGCGTGTTTGCTTGTATGCTCTCTCTATTGCTCCAAGTTCCCATCTGTTTCTCTGTATGTAACCCCACCCCACTTCCCCCGCATCCCCTCAAGTCCCCCGCAGGGCAGTTTGTGATAGAGTACTGTGGGGATGTGTTATGGTACCCAGCAGTGAGTCTTTATGTGTCACCAAATCTCTTGAGGCACCTCAAAACCCGCCTTCTGTGGCGCCTCAACACCCGCAAGGCAGTTTGCGATAGAGTACTGTGGGGAGGTGTTATGGTACCCAACAGCGAGTCTTTATGTGTCACCAAATCCAAATCTCTCCATCCTCCCATTCTCCCACAACCGCCTACTCCCCCACCTGTGCTCGCCCGTGCAGGCAGGGCAGTTTGTGATCGAGTACTGTGGGGAGGTGGTACCCAACAAGGAGGCGCAGAGGCGCCATGCTGCGTACCTAGCTGCAGGTGCTCCCCCCCGCCCTCCTGCCCGCCTGCCTGCTTGCTTGCCCGCCCGCCCGCCCGCCCGCCCACCGGCCT